CTCCCTCCCTCCCCCCTTCTTTCTCCAGGTGAGGAGAGAAAGAGAGAGGGAGAGAGAGGCACTTGTGCTTCCTCTCTCTCTCTCTCTTTCCTCTCTCTTTTTCTCTTTCCCCTCTCCCTCTCTCTTTCCTCTCCCTCCCTTTCTGCCCCCCATCTTCTGCTCACCTCACATTCTTCGCTGACAAAGCAGCCGGGACTCCGGTGCGCCTTCCCAGCCAGCTGGGCCAATGGTCCCGCGGCTGGAGATCGCAGGGGCTGCTCTCTCTCAGGGCCGTGGCTTGCGGGAAGGCTGGCCTGCACAGCAGAGGCTCTGGCGGGCTGCTCCCAGCGGGGATTCCAGGCTTCCCCGTGCGGTTGCCCGACCACGTGTACCTCGGACGGGGCCAGCCAGGGAAAGGGACTTCCTGGCCGTGCTTCTCCCAGAGGGCGGGGCACCCGGGCACAGGGCCAATCAGGAGCCCTGCGAGGGGGCAAATCCGCATGAGAGAGAAAGAGAGAGAGAGAAGCACAAGTGCCTCTCTCTGTCTCTCTCTACAAATGGCGCAGGACGCTCGGAGCTGCAGGGGAAGGCTCAAAAGTGTCCCCAAAACATCTTGCTCCATCGCCCCCCTATCGCCCCCTTTTCGTTCCATCGCCCCCACGCTGCCCCTTTTCGTTCCATCGCCCCCCTGAAAAATGAAATCGCCCCCTGGGGGGCGGTACCGCCCAGGTTAAGAACCACTGATTCAGAAGACACAAAGAGGTCTATTACTAATGTTTGAAGTGACTCATGAAGCAGCGGAAGGTGATGGTCCGGAGATACATACTGAGAGGGTGATGATGGGATGGAGCTGCAGTTTAACGTCTACTAGATCTGTGTGTGCTTTGATAATGATTCAGGAGGGCTTCATAGGATTTAGAGAGAAGCATCTTTCTGCTATTCATTCAATGCACCTAGTTTTCTCCAGACTTCCACTCAAGTCTGAAAAAAAACCCTGGTCTGTGGACCAGTACCGGGCCGTGGCATGCCAGCAACCGGTCTGCACAAACAAGCAAAGCCCCATCCGCAAGATGCAGGCAGCACACAAAACCACGCACTCTCCGGTCCATGGAAAAACCTCTTCGTGGAACAGGTCCCTGGTGCCCAAAAGGTTGGGGACCCCTGATGTATAGCATCTACCTCTTTTTCTCACAAGGGTCCCAAATGCAATGTGATTTCTGAAAAAAAAAACCTGTTCTTCTGGCACCTACCATTTGTGTATCTACATGCTGAGTTAGGTAGGGGAACGGTTGTAAATGAAAGAACAGGTTGTAAATCACTGTTTTGAGTGCCATTGTAAGTTTGAATCGTTATTATACAGATGGTTTCAAGTCAGGGACGATCTGTACCCTTTTTCAGTTCTGTCTGCTCTGAAGCAAACGTGTGCATGAGCTAGATGTCACAGTAAAGAAATTGTGGAAATGTTCCACTCCTCCTAACTGAATAATTCCTTCTGTTTCTCACGCTGCTGTGGCAGAATGCCCTTCTGCCAGCGGGCTTCCGACAGAAAGATCAGACCAGTAAACCTGCCACGGGACCTTTTGACAGAGAACGACTATTGTCCTACTTGGAGAAAGAAGCACTGGAGCACAAAGACAGAGAAGATGTGGTTCCTTTTACTGGAGAAAAGAAAGGTACGTTCCTGGCTGCAATGTCAACAATAAAGAAATGGAGATACCGTGGTTATCTTTGCTGCGCCCAACCTGGCAAACAAAGACCTAGGCCAGTGATGGCGAACCTTTTAGAGACCGAGTGCCCAAACTGCAACCCAAAATCCACTTATGCATTGTCGAGTGCCGGGTGGGTGTGGCCCATTGGGTGGGCGTGGCTGCGGTGGTAACGGCAGACTGGGTGGGACTAAAAAGTTCAATCAATCAATTCCAACTTTGCAAGATCTTTTTTTTTCCCGCGAGAAGTTGAAATTGACTGATTGAACCTTTTTTTTTTTTTTTGCACACGGCGGCGGAGGCCTAAAGTGAAAAGGTTTTATAAAATCCAACTGAAGGCCTAGGACTGGGGCGACGGCGCGCGTGCCATAGGTTCGCCACCACTGACCTATGCAGATTGCAAGGGTTGAATATGCAATTTGTGTAGACACCCTTTCTCAGTCTAAATTATCATTATATAATAATCAAATTCAATATGAAAAAGTATATAATAATTAAGTTTATATGTCATCTGTCCTCCAGCAACTCTGGGTAGTTTACAATTGTTAAAAGCATTTTCAGAACAAAAGTAAAAAAAAAAAAGGACAAGACGAACAAGTTGCTGGTTTTACAACTTGCTGGTTTTGTTTGTGGGCTACCTTTGTCCAATTCTGTTTTGTCCTCATTTCCTGGGTTCTACTTTAATATTCAATATCAGGCTTGGATACCATGGCTCATAAGGCATATGTGGCCTCTGAGTGATCCATATTGGCTCACGGGGATTTTTAAAAATTGCCGGTTGGCTTCTCAAAGTATTTCTATCATTTTTAATCTTAGGAGCCATGTTGTTTTGATCCATATTTTCCAACTATAAATTCCATAGTTCTCATTCCGGAAAAGGACGTTATTCCTAGCCAGAGGCTAGGCATTTTGGGACCTGTAGTGTCAGTCCACTTGCAAAGCGTCTGCTTGAAGAAGGCTGATCTACAGGAGTCTCTTACTCAGAGTTAAATGGGAACTTTCTTTGTCTCTTTCCACTGGAATAGAACATCAACAGGAAACTCCACCCAGAATTAACTCATCCCAACAGCATGTAGTAATTAGTTGCTAAATGATTTAATAGCCCTGATCAGAAAGGGGTAGGCATGGACTTGAGAAATATCACTTCTACAAAAGGAAATGGTGTGGGCGTTTTAAAATTCCAAATATGCTTTGCTGTGGTTTTAATATATATATATATATATTGCATTGACCCTAATGAGTATTACGCATAGACATTTATTCACATTTCAGTTGAAGTTGGTAGAAAGCTTTGACTACAGGTAGTTGGGGGAGAAGATATACTCCATTGCATTTAGCAAAAGGTGCATATATTTGCACTTTACAATAAGAATGTCTTAGCAGCAGCATAACCGGGTTGAGAAATACTAATACCTATAAGTAAATGGCCAGATACTGCTTAGCTTAAATATTCTGGCTCCTATCTGCCTAAGAAAGTTGTTTCCATCAGCTTTTCTTTGCAGGATTGTTATTATTATTCTTGTGCCATATCCGTTATCGGGCGTTGGCGATCATGTTGGCAATCCTGTTTTTACCAGCAGCCGCACGAAAAAGTGCTGCTGAGTTTTGTCCAAACCAGTCCCTTAGATTTTGAAGCCACCATGTTCTTCTTCTGCCTGGACCTCGTTTGCCTTCAATCTTTCCCTGGAGAATTAAGTGGAGTATGCGGTATTTTTCTGGGTGTCGCATCACATGTCCGAAATATTCTAATTTTTGTTTTTTAATTGTTTTGATGATTTCCCTTGGCTTTCCCAGGCGGCTTATCCCCTCCTCATTTCTGATCTTGTCAACCCAGCTTCTACGTAACAGCCGCCTGTAAATCCACAATGCTTCTAGTCTTTTCAGATGGCCTTCTGTCAGAGACCAACTCTCTACTCCATAGAGCAGGATAGCACAAATATAGCATCTGACAAGCCTGATTTTCAGTCTTAGGCTTAGGTCGTGACTGCAGAAGACTATACTCGTGTAGCTGAATTAATCGACCGAGTTCTCCAATCTTGCTGATCTCAGGGAGACAGAGAAAACCCAGACCTGCTTACCAAGTAGCACAGAATCCTCTTGTCGAAGTAGCCCAAAGGAAATAATATTTAGCTTATTTGTCCCTGGCGATCAGAATTTTACCCTGAAATATTGGTTTTTGTAATCCAACATGTCTGCTGACCTGGAAAAGCCTGTTTTCAAGTTTCCATCTCATCTCACCAAGGACGGTGTTCCAATATTTGAGGGGCTGCCACAAAGAAGAGGGGAGGGGGGTCAACCTGTTCTCTGAAGTACCTGAAGGCAGGAAAAGACGGAACGGATGGAAAGTAATCAAGGAAAGACATGAGAACCAGCCTAGAACTAAGGAAAATTTCTTAACCATAATTCAGTGGAATGACATGCCTCCAGAAGTTGTGGGTGCTCCAAACACTGGACAGCCGTTTTTGTCTGAAATGTTATCGGGTTTCCTGGTCGAGCACGGGGTTGGACTAGAAGACCTCCGAGGTCCCTTCCGGTTCTGTTATTCTCACAGGCATTCTAAAACCGGGGATCCTGCAAAACTCTGCCTTGTTGCGATAACCCTTTGCAACCCCAGTTGAGCCTGGAGGAAAAACTGCCAGGCCGTTATGCAAGATGAGCCGGCTGATTTAAAGCTGGCAAAATCATTGAGATACTTGCATAAGAATAAGTCGTGATCCTTGTTGGCAGGACATCCAAGACATGTGGTGTTTCTGGCCACTGCCTTTATTTAATTTTTTTATTATTATTATTTTGGCAGGCCTTGCAGTAAAAATGGCTGGGGAGTGATTATTTGGAAAGCTTCACAGGCTGATTCTCCTTGGAACTGAACTGCTTGGGAACTACTCCCTGAAATAAAGCAGGAACAGTCCTTTTAAACAAAGAGGCTCAAAACCTGACAATGCCCGACCCAGTGGAAAAAAGCAGGCGGTAAACTGTAATCGGGAACAGCCAGACTAGGTGAAAATAAGCATCTGATGAAAGGGATGCTGCCCAGGAACATGTATGTTATCCTACAATATCCCCAAGACTATCACTTTTTGATGAAACTCATCACTGAGCCCACAGACTGAGGTTGAAGTTTCCCATCAAGCCAAGCCATAAATACGTGGCTGGATTTACACGTCATGCTCAGCCACAAATACGCAAATGACTTTATGCCTTAGTGGGATGTGTAAAACCAGTAGCTAATATCGCTATCGTTATGGAAAAGGAGTAATTACCTATTTGCGACAAATATTTCCACACTGGAAATCTTTGAAAATGTTAGCTCTGCTCTGGATTTTCTGCTTAATACGGTGAGCTAAATGATTTCCTGACACACGTGCTTCCCTCTGGCACTGAGAGATAGTGGAATTTTTTTTCTCTCTCTTTCAATTATCAAAATATTTTTACTTTTCACTGTTGCAAATTTAGCTGGCAACTTTGGCACCAATTTGGGCTGTATGTGTGGAGATAAGCTAGTGGGAAGGTGGCATGAACATCCTACTGGTTTATGTGTAACGCAAAGGTGTGATTATATACATTTGCTGGCCTACATCATTTCAGACAATGGTTAATAGTAGTAGTAGTAGTAGTAGTAGTAGTAGTAGTAGTAATAATAATAATAATAATAATAATAATAATAATAATAATAATAATAATAATAATAATAATTTTTTTAAAAAAAAGTTGGAAGGGACCTTGGAGGTCATCTAGTCCAACCCCCTGCTCAGGCAGGAAACTCTACACCATTTCGGACAAATGGCTGTCCAGTCTCTTCTTGAAAACTTCCAGTGTTGGAGCATTCACCGCTACTGGAGGTAGGTTGTTCCACCGGTTAATTGTTCTCACTGTCAGGAAGTTTCTCCTTAGTTCCAGGTTGCTTCTCTCCTTGGTTAGTTTCCACCCGTTGCTTCTTGTCCTGCCTTCAGGCGCTTTGGAGAATAGCTTGACTCCCTCTTCTTTGGGGCAGCCCCTGAGATATTGGAAGGCTGCTATCCTGTCCCCCCTCGTCCTTCTCTTCGTTAAACTAGACATACCCAATTCCAATAACTGTTCCTCATATGTTTTAGCCTCCAGTCCCCTAATCATCTTTGTTGCTCTTCTCTGTACTCTTTCTAGAGTCTCAGCATCTTTTTTACATCGTGGTTGTCCACTCTCTTCTTAAAAACCTCCAGTGTTGGAGCAGCCACAACTTCTGGAGGCAAGCCGTTCCACTGATTAATTGTTACAGGTTGGGCTATAGTGTTAAAAGCCAATTTTCCTGACGTATCTCGTTTCCCCCCCCCCCCCATTCTTTCTAGACCACCTTTGTTCTTTGTTTAGAATCCACCCGTTCACTAGGGAACTCTTGGGACAGAATGAATTATCCCACACTCAGTTGCTTGTGGAGTTCCAGTAGAAGATACATTAAAGCTTTCCATATGATTTCATTTACACGGTGGAAAGGGGGCAGGGCGGGGGATCTGGGGGAAGGTGGGAGAGGAGACAGCAGAGGCAATTTGATCGCTTTTCTAGCAAATATTCGTATCTGCCTCGGGAAAGCCATTTCACACATCTGGAGCGCTGTGGCTTTATAGATCAAAAGTATATTGAACAGGCTGAGTCTGCACAGTATTCTAAGCTGTGGTTTCTTTTTGACTACACTTGGCTGAACCATCACTGGGGCCTCCTTCTCGTATAACATTAAACAACAGAAATGGGATGAATCCCTATAATGCATTAAGTCAAAATCAAACCCATTATGGCTTGGCACAAAAAGTACGAACATGATCCGGAGGACCCCTTCTCATGTGGCCTTGGTCACAAAAAAAAACCACACACATATGATCCTTCTTGGACCATAGAGTCCGTATTCTTTCAGCTGCAGCACAGCTCAAATGACAACATTTTATTTTTCTGACACTGGAATTCAAGAGCAACTTATAGGCAGGCTGAACTTGGAACTCTCTAATAGATTTCACAGGCAGCCCAATCAGCAAACCCAATATAATCTTTCCAGTCAGTTTTATAGCTCCTGTAAAAAATTGCCTAGCTGGATTTTCCTGCTTGGGTAAACAGTGTGCAGTGAACTCCTGCTTCACCTTGACTCACCTCCCAATCTTTGGCCTCAAGTGAGTCATTTTTCTCTTCCTCTCACATATGTGAATGTTGTGTGGTGAAACTAGGATTATAGCCCTTGGGAAAGATGACTGGCCCCAGATGGATCACATGGTGCTATCCTCAAAAATTTATATTCAGGAGGAATGACAGCCTGTCAGCAATGAGCTTTCCTCATTTTAACAACTCAGATGTTTTGCAAAGTGGCCAGACAAAGGCATCCAAATGTGTGTTGACATTTGGGGATGGGAGTTAGCTGCTCATTCCCCCCACCCCTTTTGTAATTCTTACATGAACTGCTGTAGCTCCCGTAGAGGGCAATATCAGGCTAGTAATTTTTGCATTCGCTTATTGTTGACGGAGGTGCTTGTTCTCAATTATTTGAGTTGTGCAGGAAGGAAGATGATTGCACACTTGGCTTCTAAATGCTGTTTGGAAGACTAGGGAAGTAGAATAAGAATGTGAAAATGCCTACAACTGAATTTATCAAACTATAGTTGAGAAAAACAAACTTCCTACTGCAGATATTCTGGCAGGACAGGTCACAGGCCTGGAGATAGGGATGGACCATTGGCTGGAAACAGGGACTGGACCTGTCTCCAGCCGATGGTCCATCCCTATCTCCAGGCCTTTGACCTGTGCACGAAAGAGAAAAATAAGGAGAAACAAGGGCTTTGGAGAGCAGTTGTGATACGACTTGGATGACCTATATTCAAACCTCACCTCTGCCATAAATTCATACAGTGAATATCAGCCAATCACAGCCTTATTCATCTGCTCTCACTCCAGGGTCAATAGATTCCAATGATAGTTTTTCTTACAAAACCGTTGCAAAAATCCTGTAAGTAGGTGAAGTGCTTCTGTCCCTCAAAAATGCAACACGTGATTATGGCATTATTATTTTTTCTTTTGTGAATCCCCCCACCTTATAAATAGAGAGCCAACACAGAATCATAAAGCTGCCTGGATAGTCTTGGGATAGTCAGTTTCTCTTATCCCAATCTATCGGACATGCACTTGACCTAAGTTCTTCAGGGGAATGTGAGGATAACAACATCGTGTATAAAAACGATGAAAAAAGGACAACCCTGTGGCTGAGCAATGAAGATATATCGTATGCATTATGGGATCAAGTCAGGAGGATGTTGAAGAGCTGACGCATTCCTTTGAAAATGATTACCTTATTGCCAGCTTTTAAATTTGGAAATTATGAATCATTTTCCTAAAAATAATACCAGCAGCCAAATGTTTGCTTTTGTTGGCTTTTACTGTGTGAACAGGCTGAATGGCTGTCTGTTAGAAAGCCTGTAGTTGCACTCTAAATTACACATGCTTTGCTGCACAGGAGTTGACCCCAATAACTCCTTTAGGACTAAATCTTAGGATAGTCGGTATTCGTTTGCATGTTGAATTTTGGTCATTCCCCTGATTTGCCTATAATCCATAAATGTTCTTCCTCTGAACTCGTTCTGAATGCAATAGATCAATGATGGCAAACCTTTTAGAGACCGAGTGCCCAAACTGCAACCCAAAACTCACTTATGTATCATCGGGTGCCGGGTGGGCGTGGCCCATTGGGTGGGTGTGGCCCATTGGGTGGGCGTGGCTGCAGTGGTAATGGCAGACTGGGTGGGAGTAAAAAGTTCAATCAATCAATTCCAACTTTGCAAGATCTTTTTTTTTCCCACGAGAAGTTGAAATTGACTGATTGAACCTTTCTCTTTTTTTTTGCACATGGCAGCGGAGGCCTAAAGCGAAAAAGGTTTTATAAAACCCAGCTGAAGGCCTAGGACTGGGGCGAAGGTGCGTGTGCCCAGAGAGAGGGCTCTGAGTGCCGCCTCTGGCACCCGTGCCATAGGTTCGCCACCACTGCAATAGATCAATGATGGCGAACCTTTTAGAGACCGAGTGCCCAAACTGCAACCCAAAACTCACTTATGTATCACTGGGTGCCGGGTGAGCGTGGCCCATTGGGTGGGTGTAGTCCATTGGGTGGGTGTGGCCCTTTGGGTGGGCGTGGGTGCAGTGGTAACGGCAGACTGGGTGGGACTAAAAAGTGCAATCAATAATTCCAACTTTGCGAGATCTTTTTTTTTCCCGCGAGAAGTTGAAATTGACTGATTGATTGAACCTTTTTTTTTTTTTGCACACGGCAGCGGAGGCCAAAAGCGAAAAGGTTTTATAAAACCCACTTGAAGGCCTAGGACTGGGGCGACGGCACACGTGCCCACAGAGAGGGCTCTGCGTGCCGCCTGTGGCATGCGTGCCATAGGTTCGCCACCACGGCAATAGATGCTTAAGATGTTTTCCCCGAAGCTCGCAACCATCACGCTCTTCCATTGATTCAGTTCATTTCTGTCTTGAAGGAAAAGCATTTGTGCCTAAGGAGAGACCAATAGAGACCCACACAGAAAAGAAGGTGACTCTGGATCCAGAATTAGAAGAAGCTCTGGCCAGCGCCTCTGATACTGAGCTGTATGATCTAGCAGGTGTGTGGCAAGATTTGTTTGTTTGTTTGTTTCACAGCAGGGTCAGTCTTGCAGTCACTCTAAACTTATGTATTACTGCTGTGATTCCTCGCCAGCCAGTGGAGCCGTGCCTGGCTGAGGAATTCTGGGAGTTGAAGTCCACAAGTCGTAAAAGGGCCAAGTTTGAAGACCCCTGTTGTAGATGAAGGCCAGGCCTTCTCAAGCAGTGTTGTATTCAATCTTATTGCTGCTATTTCTGATGCTTCCAGCTGTCCTCGGAGTTCATAATTTGGTCAACAACCCTAAGTTTGATGAAGGAACCACCGGTCAAGATGGCAAAGGAATTGTGAAAAGTAAGTAGAGACATTCCCCTGCACCCTTCACACCAAGCAAGAGAGCGATATCCTGCAACCATCAAGCTACTTACGCTGCTCATCTTTTTCCTAGTGTGGCGATTACAATTGTTGCAAAGATCCAATTAGCAATTGGTCAACATGGCAGGTCTCCTAAACTGCATTCCCATCATGAATGAGGCAATTAGGAATTTGCTCTGTCAGGCCCTTTTGTTCCAAAAATAATATTTTCCCCCTTAGACAGTAATATTTCTTTTCTTTTCTTTTCTTTTTTAAAAAATTAAAACAGATAGTGAAGAATCTATTTTAGGAGTTTCTGCAAACTGAGTTATATAACGGAAAACGTGGCAGGCTATGAGAAGTTAAACTATGCCCTGGTTTAATCATGGTTTATTGAATACATCAAAATGGGCTATGTTTACATAATCAGCTAAGCCATAAATGATATTTCTAATTATCATGATGTATGAAAAGTTATGAATGCTTATGCCTAGTTATCTGCAGGAACAGGAAGAGAACTTGGCAGCCTTGTTTGAGAGCCTTCTCTTGAGTAAACAAAGTCTTGACTAAGGGATGAAGTGTTTGCAAAATCAAAATTTATAGCCATGCCTACTAAGAAGCCTGACATAGCTGTCAATTGTTAGAAGTGGACAAAAGTGTTTAAAACAAGGAGGGAAAAGGACAAAGATGTCTTTGTAGAAGCGAGAAAGCTAAAGCTGTTATAAAACAATCCATCAGATAATAAATTAGTGGCTTAAAGTGTGCACATATCACTTTACTGAAAATATTATTTTGAAAGAAAATTTCGCATCAATGGTACAGTATATGGATGGGAGGGTTGCATGAGTGCTGTTTTTTTTTTCCAGATGTGGTTAAAGGTGAAAAGGTCAAGCCTGTTTTTGAAGAACCACCTAACCCAACAAATGTTGAAACCTGTTTGCAAAGAATTAAGGCAAATGATCCCACTCTACAAGAAGTCAATCTGAACAACATAAAGGTACTTTTATCAAAGTCAAATTCAATTGTTTTATTTGTGCCAGTCTTACCTGTAAGATATTTTGAGATGGGCTTTATTTTTTTCTGGTCTAGACCAAAGCTTCATCCATGAAGCAGATATTAAAAGTTCATGTCAGTATTCAAATTGAAATTTTAAAAAAAGACTATATATTTGCATTCTCTACAAACATGAAAATCACCAGGGTAATGATACTTCAGAGGATGATGTATTGCAATTTCATTCCCTTCGAAAAGATGTGCTGAAACATTTAAAAGACCAACAATCAGCCTTATAAACACAACACTTTTGAGTGTGAAATCGAAACAACCATGTGCTCTCTGTTGTGGAATTATTGCTTGTGCCTCTTCCTTTTTTAAAGCTTCTTTACTTTTATTTGACATTTATTAGCTTTAGATTGATCCTAATTTATTTGCCTTACCAATTACCTTGTTTTAAGTATTAAGTATTTTGTTAGTTGTCTTGATGCTATTTTATAGAAAGGTGGGATATGAATTATATTATTAAATGTGTATAATCCAAATGAAAATTATAGACCTGCTCAAAATATTGATTCATTTACTGTCCAACACAATTTTGACTTAGTACCACTTTGACAGAACCAGGTCACTATATGGCTACAACTGAACCTATCATAGAATCTATTAAATTCAAGCAGTTACACTAGAGTTATTTTTTTTTATCTTATATAGAACATCCCAATTCCAACTCTTAAAGACTTTGCAAAGGCTCTGGAAACCAATAACCATGTGAAAAAATTCAGCCTGGCAGCTACTCGAAGCAATGACCCTGTTGCAATGGTGAGGTTTTCTTGGGGAAAATTGCATATTCTATTTTAATACTGGGTTGATAGCCTCCAAAGTATTGGGAAAACAGTGCAGGATAAATAAATACACTAAAATATAAACAAACTAAAGTTTCATGTTTGAAAAGCTGCAAGCTTGCACCATTTTGAATTTTCCGTAAACTTTATTTAACATATTCATTCTGTATCCAACTATTTTCACACTATATTGAGGTGACAACGGTGGAAAGGTGAATTCTGAAATGTAATATTTCTTAAGGCAAACAGAAACAGAACTGATACCGGTCCTTTCACCGCTGTGTTTCTTTTCAGGCTTTTGCGGATATGCTAAAAGTAAACAAGACACTGAAAAGTCTAAATATAGAATCCAATTTTATCACTGGGACAGGCATCCTTGCTTTGGTTGATGCTCTGAAAAGAAATGAAGTACTGGCAGAAATCAAAATTGACAATCAGGTAAGGAAAGGATAGCAAAGTGGAACTTAGGATTGGCCGGACTCTAAAAATTGCTGTTTGGCAATGAGCCTTGTTTGGGATCTGGTAACAAGACAGAGGTCAAAGTGGCAGGATAAGCCTGATTTAATATATATTTGATTTTTCTTAGTATGTTAAAATTAAGTCATGCAGGAACCCTCGCTGTGGAAACATTAGTGTTTCTTTTACACTCGGAAATATGTTGCTGTAAGAGATTAGAATTCCCCTAGTCTAGCATTTTCCCTCTTACAGCGGCAAAGTAGATTAATAATGCTTCTTCTTCTTCTTCTTCTTGTGCCATATCCGTTATTGGACGTTGGCGATCCTGTTTTTATCAGCAGCCGCACGAAAAAGTGCTGCTGAGTTTTGTCCAAACCAGTCCCTTAGATTTTGAAGCCACGATGTTCTTCTTCTGCCTGGACCTCGTTTGCCTTCAATCTCTCCCTGGAGGATTAAATGGAGGATGCTGTATTTTTCTGGGTGTCGCATCACATGTGCGAAATATTCTAATTTTTGTTTTTTAATTGTTTTGATGATTTCCCTTGGCTTTCCCAGGCGGCTTATCCCCTCCTCATTTCTGATCTTGTCAACCCAGCTTCTACGTAACAGCCGCCTGTCAATCCACATTTCAAATGCTTCTTGTCTCTTCATGTGGCCTTCTGTCAGAGACCAACTCTCTACTCCATAGAGCAGGATAAAAAATATATAGCATGACAAGCCTGATTTTCAGTCTTAGGCTTATGTCGTGAATTAATAATGCTAGGAAATTATTTTTTTGGGGGGGGAAGGGATTAGTTTCTGGTTTGTTCAAAATGCAAGTCACTGCTTGACTGTGGACAGGTAGCCCTCAGCTGAGCCCAAGATTTTAGTTGCTAACTGAGAAATTAAGTGAGTTTTGCCCCATTTTACGACTTTTCCTGCCACCGTTGTTAGGTGAATTACTGCAGTTGTTAAATTAATGACCCAGTTGTTAAGTGAACCTGGCTTCCCCATTGATTTTGCTTGTCAGAAGGACACAAAAGGGGATCACACAACCCTAGGACACTGCAAGCGTCATGAATATGAACCGGGTACCAAGCACCTAAATTTTGATCAAGTGACCACGGAGATGTGGCAAGGGTCATAACTGTGAAAAATGGTCATAACAAGTCACTTTTTTCAGTGATGTTGTAACTTTGAACAGTCACTAAATGAACTGTTGTAGGTCGAGGACTACCTGTAGATCTTATTACCCAGCACCATTTTCACGGCAGGGCAACTAGCTAACTTTTCAGCAAGCTACTACATGGTGCTTGGAACTACAGTTTGAGTTATCCATTTGTTTGTGGTTTTTGTCTAAAAACCTATTCAAGTGTTTCATAAATCTGTCTCTTTTTACATTTGCTGCTCTCCCCTTTTTAGTTTCCCTGCCTAAAACCAAGGTAACTTCCACACTGCAAAGCTAAACTAAGTAACTGTTGCAGGAATGGGTGAATTGAACTGATATATGGCAAGGGGAATAGAGACCTGTTTAGCCCTTTACTATCCATTGCAATTCCCTAACCCCAGATGAGAAATGTTTCAACTGGAATCAATGATAAAAAAAAAATGCTATTCCATCCAGCAATTACGGGAAGTACAGCTTCAGTCAGGACTATAGTGGAAGCAAATAATCACACCAACGTAATAGTCTTCTGTTGCCACAACAATTCTTTGACTATGACAAGCTCCACCACCCCACACCAAATATTAAATCTAGTTTAGCTCTTAGAAGACTTTAGTTTTGTGCATTGAAGTAGCATGGATAATGACGATATCATAGGATATATAATATTTTCCATTTGATTTGATCTTGGTTGCTTTCTCAGAGACAACAGCTTGGCACAGCCGTGGAGATGGAAATTGCTCAGATGTTGGAGGAGAATTCTCAGATTCTCAAATTTGGGTACCAGTTTACAAAGCAAGGCCCAAGAACCAGGGTAGCAGCTGCCATCACTAAAAATAATGATCTAGGTAAGATACCAACCCCTCAGATTGGTGAAAGTTTAGGAGCATCCTTATCGGAGAAAATACTGGCTTCAATTCAGATTAGGAAAATAGAAAATGTCTGGTCGTCTTTGTACCATTACAAAATGACACATCTGATACACAAGGATCAACAAGGCTCTCTTAAACACAAAATGGAATTGATGAAGCAAGAGTGAGCTAGAAGGCAGGAACCCAAAGTATGCATATTTGTTTTGGTTAAATAATAAATAGAAATGATTTGCTATCCAAATTTAACCTTGAAGATTTACTACAAAATTAAAGGATGACAAATATTACTGGTCCCACGGTGGAAGGGGTGAATGCAAGTGTAGACCTAAATAAAATTGTTTGTCAATCGCCTTTACAAAAAAAAAAAAAGTTACATAATTAGAAAAAATATTTTGTGACACTTACAAAGCAATGCTTCTTCCTCTTCCTTTCTCTCTCTCTCTTTCTCTAGTTCGCAAGAAACGAGTGGAAGAACACCACTAGCCTGGTCTCTGAGGATGTGAGGGAAGAGAATGATTTCATCACAACCTCAGAAAATTTACCGATTTAAAGGGAAGATACTGGAAAGGCTTTAGAACAAGACTGTTCATGTTCCATTACCTCAATTCATCCCTTCCTGCTATTTGACCACCGTAATCCAGCCTAATTTTCTCTTTCCTAGCAATCAACAATCGTGCTCTGTATTCAAGATGCTCTGAGCTGAATGGAAGACCATTCCAACTTGCAAGTTGCAAGTTAGTCTTTTCTCCCCCTTCCATTTAATGCTAATCCATGAGTGATTAGGAAATTTTCCTGCACCAGTCCACTGAAACATGTGGGAATTGTTTAGTGGATTGTGCTGTCTATGTCGTACAAACCGCCACCTCCTCTTGACTCATAGCAAACCTAAGTCTGCTCTTTGTTTCCTGTTATCTTTCCACAGTTGTGTGCAAATTATAAAGAAAGGGACCAAGGTCATTTTAAAACAACTTTTCATGCCAAGGTGGAACTGTTCTTATACCAGCACACTCTGCCAAACAAATTAATCTTCAAATTCCAGACTACAATGTGCCATAAGCTAGACCAGGGGTAGGCAACCTTGGCTCTTTTACGACTTGTGGACTTCAATACCCAGAATTCCTGAATCAGCCATGCTGACTCAGGAATTCTGAGAGTTGAAGTCCACAAGTCATAAAAGAGCCAAGGTTGCCTACCCCTCAGTTAGACAGTAGGTATATTGCAAACTATTGCTTCTGGAGCCGATAACTGGAGACAAATCTCACAATAGGCTTCGTTTATACCAAATTATGATTTTCATTAACCTTATCTTGGAACACACTGTAGGATCTAACAGTCAGGACCTATTCACATAAAATGCAACACCATACCTTAGTACTCATTTGCTATGTATGTGTAAATATGACCACTATAGTATTGTGTTATGTGTTAACGAAGCCACTATGGGCTCATCCAACAAACAGTGATTAAAAATTCTGAACTAACACTATGCATGAATGCAATGATAGACAAGCCAAAACTGGAACTACAATACATGTTAGCATTCTTTTTTCTTTATATTTAGGAACTCATGCTTTAGGCTGTACTTATCTTTCACGTTGATTGGACCCTTCTAAAGGTAGAAGAAATCCTCTAAGGAAAATATGCTAATTTATCCATGGCATAATCTTATAATTAGCACAACCCATGATTTGAAAAAAATTTCCGATTCTAGCTTTCTGGCTGACTGTAAATCATTACTTAGTTAAATCAGTCCTAACCATGGTTTGCCTTGATATGAATGGAGACAATAAGCTACATATTGTACAGTGTAAATCAATTATCTTCCAAAATAGGGAATCATCAAGAGAATATTGTTTCCCGAGCATAAATATTAGAGTCATTCAGACCCTTGCTACAAGTTAAACCTCTTCTTCAAGTCACAGTTGAGGGATATTAAACTGAAAACAATTTCATGTCACCATTCAGTTTATGATAAAGTTTCATGATTCCATCTTGCATGAGTGCAAGGACTGTCGGCTATGTGTTCACATACGTTACTATTAGCAGAGCCAATTTCCTAATATAATTTGCCAACCTAAATAGCTTCAGCTGACCTTTTATTTTTAAATTATTTGTTGGTGTGTGTATATGTATTAATAGGAGGGCAATATAATTAATTACTAACAACCCATTGGTTGTACATAAGTATTCTAATAATAATGTGTTTGTCAAATTGCTTTTAAGTTTGTTTTAATTTCTGATATTAGACATTTGCAATTACTATTGGCCACTGGATTTAGTGATTACTAGATAATGAGTATCTTGATAAGGAGCTGCTTGTCTTTATTCTATGTAATTTACTCAGGAGGATAGATTTCAGCTACTACAAAAGGCTGGTATTTTAAAATGCTTCTTTTGTTTGATCACAGTTTATGCTTCAACAACTGAGTAATAGGTCAAGCTTTAGAAATAAAACAGGTGAAAAAAAGGATTGGCTTGACAAGAAATAGCCTCCAACAATAAAAAAAAAAGCTGGATGGGAACTGTGTCTGATAGAAAATAATCTTACTATATTGGGTGAAAAAACATATTAGGAATCGAATTAGGCATTTTAAGGTTCTTATTTTATATTTCAATCACCTGCAATCTCAGCTGTAAAGTTTCAGTCATCAGACTAATAGAAATATTTTAATTATACATAAGCTAATATGTCAGTGCATACAGCATTGAAGTTACATGATGGTCTGCGTGGATTATATCTAAATTTAACTATTAATTGACCAATTGTGAGAAATTTCAGATAATTGCTTTATATATATATAGACTGCAGCCATCCAATGTAAGAGCAGGCTTGTGATGGTGGCTTAGAATTAAACTATGTTCAATTTTTTTTAACATCACCACCAAATTTGGCATGCTTTGTTCAAATAAATAAAGGTAAAGAAAAAAAATAAGTTAGGTTTCCCAAGAAACCCCGAAAGTTTTCAGGTAATATACTATAGATCAGAAGTCTGGTAACACCTTTTAAGACAAACATATTTTATACAAAAGATTTTTATTAAAAAGAGGAAAAAGAAGGACTTGCAGTAGTACTGTATCACAATCATGCCATTGTTGTCCACTAGAGGGAACAACAGCACACCAAATGCAGTTAGGAAAAGTTTCCAATTTGGAAATCATTGCCTTTGATCTTCTAATGACAGAAGATGAAGTTTGTATACAACCCAAAATAAATATTTCCCTGCTTTAAAAAAAAAACAAAGAAGTCCACGTTAACAATGAAGCGCTGCAGGTCCTGCCACTGGCGACGAAAAACTACCCTCCGTGATTCCCTGAGAGAACACGTGTAAATCAACTGCCCGTGTTCCCACAATTCGTTTAACCCTTGTACAGTTTTTATTTACTGATAGAAGAGAATATTTGTAGATTTCTTTCTTTAGTCCTTTTTTCTGGGTTTATAGAATTATGGAATGATTTATACTTAAGACTGGAAGTTTTTAAGAAGAGACTGGACAGCCATTTGTCCGAAATGGTATAGGGTTTCCTGCCTGAGCAGGGGGTTGGACTAGTTGACCTCCAAGGTCCCTTCCAACTGTATTATTATTATTATTATTATTATTATTATTATTATTATTATTATTATTATTATTATTATTATTATTATTATTATTATTATGAGAACTCTGCTGTCTGCTAAACTACTTAGTTAGCCTGAGCAGGGGTTGGACTAGATGACCTCCAAGCTCCCTTCCAACTTTATTATTATTATTGTTATTATTATTATTATTATTATTATTATTATTATTATTATTAGAAATGCATGTATTATATATGTGTATGTATATATATATGTGTGTATATATGCATATATGTGTGTATATATGTATGTGTATATACACACACACACACACATATTTGCCTGGTTCGCAGTTCCTTACAGTACTTTCAACCCTAAAGGAGGCAGCTGGCTAACCTATACCCCCAAATCCACACACCACAGTTAACGGGAACCCCAACTGGTGTGTGTGTGTGTGGCACCCAGGCCTCCCCGAGGCCCTTCACTGACCTGCACAGGAGAGTCGTGAGAACGCGGCCCCCGGTCACGGGTCGGGGGGGGAGTGGAAGGGAAAGGAAGGTCGGCCGGGGACAAGACCTTCCCCTCAGCGGGGAGCGCGTCCAGAGCATGCGCGAACCACGGCGCAGGCGTAGAGGGGCGACCTGGCCTTAGGTGCGCTCCTTTCCCCCACCCCTCCCTTCGCGGGGCGCCGGGTCTCCAGCGCGCACGCGCACGGGGCCGCCGCTCGCTCGCTCGCTTCGCGCCTTTCGCGCCTCAGGGCGCCGCTTTCGCTCGGCGACCTCCTGAGGGAACCGGCGGCGCCGCTGCTGCTGCCCTGCCCGCTATGGCCCCGACCTGCCGCTGACTTGCCAGCCGCCATGGCCGAGTCGCTGCCCCTGCCCGGGCTGTCTCTGCGGGAGGAACCGCTGCCCGGACCCGGCGCCGCCGAGGGGGAGGCCGAGCTGTCGCTGAGCTTGGCGCGCACCAAAACGCGGTCGTACGGCAGCACGGCCACGGTGCTCGCCCCCTTGGCGGAGCGGTACGTGGAGCACCGCCTCAGCCCCGGAGACACCTTGCCGGGCTTGGCGCTCAAGTACGGCGTGACGGTAAGCAGGGAGGGGGGCTGGCCCGGGAGCCCCTGGAGGCCACGGCCGGGGCTCCGGGAAGGTGCCCGTGAAGGGTCGCGCTGTTCGGGCAGCCCCTTCCTCCACCCGCGAGGGGACAGGGCGCCCCCCATGGAAGAGGGCAGAGGGCCCCCCCTTTCTCTGCCAGCAAGGGATCGGGGGGGCTCCTCCGCCAGCATGGGCAGAGCTTGCCACCCCCAACATCAGGAAGGGCAGAGGGAAACCCTCTCCATGAGAGAGAGGGCACCCCCAACACGAGCAAGGGCACAGACCCTCCGTGAGCATGGGCAGAGGGCACCCCCTCTCCGTGAGAGAGGGTCTTCCCTCCACCAGTACAGGCAGGATTACTCCTCCAACACGAGGAAGGACACAAGGAGCCCCCCTCCACCATTATGGGTAAAAGGACCCTCCATGAGAGAGAGGGCACCCCAACACGAGCAAGGGCACACGAACCCCCTCCGTGAGACAAAGGGCAGAGGGCACCCCCAACAGGAGCAAGGGCACAGTGAACCCCCCCTCCGTGAGATAAAGGGCAGAGGGAACCCCCAACATGAGCAAGGGCACAGGGAACCCCCCTCCATGAGATAAAGGGCAGAGGGCACCCCCAATATGAGCAAGGGCACTGGGAACCCCCCTCCGTGAGATAAAGAGCAGAGGGCACCCCCAATATGAGCAAGGGCACTGGGAACCCCCCTCCGTGAGATAAAGAGCAGAGGGCACCCCCAACAGGAGCAAGGGCAGAGGGCATCGCCAATATGAGCAAGGGCACAGGGAACCCCCCTCTGTGAAATAAAAGGCAGAGGGCACTGCCAATATGAGCAAGGGCACAGCGAACCCCCCCTCCGTGAGATAAAGGGCAGAGGGCACCCCCAACACGAGCAAGGGCACAGGGAACCTCCCTCCATGAGTATGGGCAAAAGGACCCCCCTCCATGAGCATGGGCAGAGGGTCCCTTTCCACAAGCATGTACTGAGAACCTGCTTGGTGGCACTGCCACGCACCCACTTTTGGTACTGAGACTCTGCAGCTGAAACAAGAGAATATGAACTTTTCTCAAATCCCCAGCTCCAGTCCAGTAATCCCTGCTAGATTCGGTCAGCCTCAGATAGGAAAGCTTCTGGGTGACAAACGGCATGTTTTTCACTTTTTCCCCACTTCTCAAAAACTAGAGGAATTTGCTGGAGGAGGAGGGGAGTGCTTCTGTCCTTGTGCAGACTGCTTTCCACTGGAATCATTGCAAGCGATCTGGCGTGTCTCTTTGAGCTAAGCAGTTTACATACTTTGGATTTTTCCTCATTTAACGCACATCTCAGACCAATATAGCTAATATTAAGGGGTCACATCTTAACCTGCGTGCAGGGAATCATCGGTAGGGGGTTTCAGGCAGACAGACTTTTCATACAAAAGGAGATTTGGAGGGCATCAGAGGTCTCCACTACAACTGTAGCGTTATTGCAATGAGTGGATGTGGTATCTAACAAGAGATTTGAATTTGGAATTTTCCTTTGAGCATGGCTTGATCACTGGGCCCTTTGAAGGTTGAAAGCGAAAGTCAGTCTTTGAACATAAGAAGATGGTGTGCATTACAGAATTGCTGTTCTTTCCTATCTTTGAACTGTGGCGTTTCGGATATAAATCATTTGAAAGTTTGCCTTGCTGAAATGATTGTTATGATTTGTTGAATAGCAACCGTTGTTGGCATAATCAAGATTTGTAATACATCACTATTAATAGGAAAAGGTTGAAGAGTATGCATAATAAGCCAACCTAGGTATACGTGCTCATGCTGAGACACTAATTCTGTTAGCTGCATTGAATATACAATCACTCAAAATTGAGACAATTTCCATAGAGTTGTAGACCACATTTAAAACAAAAACAGTTTTTAATCCAGGTAGATGATGACTTTTATTATAATTGCTTTCAAATGTGGGCCTGTGAGAGTGTTGTATTGCAATAGGTCTGTAATGCCAAACCTAAATTAAAAAGTTTCTGGGGAAAAAGTGTGAGATCTTATAAGAGTCTTCTAAACTTTATGCTGTTCAATCATTAAACTGCTGAATGAAAAATAGTCTTTAACGTGGTTATGGGGAGAAAGTGTAAAGGTTCTAGTTATATAATAGCTTTAGGTACATTATTTATTAAACTGCAATTAGCAACTAGAACATCAGATTGCTAGTTCTTTGTGAAAACAAATGCCTGAGGAAACATTTGGTTTTTATTGTTAATGTATGAAAATGATATCAACAGCAGAAGAATCCATCCTTTTGGAAACTGAATTGCTGTAAAAATTCAAAACACAAAATTGAGTTTCCATTTTTAATTTGTTCAGTAAGAGATGTAAATTAGTTTCCAAAATGATTTTTTCCCCCACCAACTTTTACCTCATATGCCTGTATGAAAGATCTGGTATTGCAGCTGTAACAATACCAGTCCCCATATGGAAGGATAGCCAAAAATTAACCGCATTAAAGATACATTTTCAGAAATAAAATTATGTAGTAAGGTAGCTGCAGGCTATTTTAATCCTTGCTTCACTTGGATTGTAAATATAACTCTTTCTGTTTCAGATGGAGCAAATAAAAAGAGCAAATAAACTTTTTACAAATGACTGCATATTTCTTAGAAAAACATTAAATATCCCAGTTATACTGGAAAAGGCGCTGCTGTTTAATGGATGTAACTCACTGGACTCTCCAGAGGATGATTCTGACAATCCCACTACTTGTGAAGAAAGACCTATGACTGTTCAGGAAGATAGTTCTTCCCCCAGTCCTCCAGAATCCGACAATCGACTTCCCCCACCTGAAGAACTCTCGGCCAAAGATTTTCTGCACAGAATGGATGTGCAGATTAAATTGTCCAAACAAGCAGCTAAGAAATTAAAATCTGAAAATGACAGGTAAAATCTTATCCATTTCTTTATCTAAAATATGTTTTTATTTGAAACTGCTGGGAAACTTTAATAGATGGTAATATAGCGAATAACAATCGTAGTAATGGAAATCAGTATATAAAACTGTTGTTAAGAAAGCTACTGAATTTTCAATATCATAATTACAAATGATCCTAAAGCAAAAGTTGGAATGTGTCTAGAATTACTTTGACTCTCCATGTTGAATTGATTAGTGAAGTTTTAGATGTGTGTGTGTGTGTGTATACACAGAAATATATACACACATATATGACATACCCCAAATCAATCTGATGGAGATAAATAGAAGGGAATATATTAGATACAGAGAAGACAGCATTGACCTAGAGCTGAACCAAGAATATTTCTAGTTAAATTACTTGAAAGCTAATCCAGAAAAGATGAGGTAGGAGTGGAGAGTAGGGAGATGATGCAACAGAATGTCAGTTGCGACTATATAATGATAATACAGTACATCTTGTTTTCTCGCTTTAAAGTTCTTACATGATACATTAGTGGACACTAAATGCACTGACCATTTCACATGTACATCTATGCTACTAGAAAAAGCTTCTGGGTTGCTTTGCTCTTTCTAGAGCAGGGGTCCCCAACCCCCAATCTGTGGACCGGCACCGGTCTGCGGCAAGCCAGCAACCTGGCCGTGAAAACAAGCGAAGCCCCATCCGCGGGATGCAGGAAGAATGCAAAAACATGCCCTCTCCGGGTTGCGGAAAAACCTTTCTCCATGGAACTGGCCCCTGGTGCCCAAAGGGTTGGGGGCCACTGATCCAGAGTAAGAAAATGCACTTTCAGAGGATTGGAAGAAAAACAATAGATTTTTTTTTTGAAGGATCTTCTACATAGCTATAGTAGTCAAATATAACATTATGTTATGGATATGCTGTTGGTGAGAACCTTTAAAGCCCTGCATGGCATGGGGACCAAATTAATTGCACAACTGTCTTTGACCCATTACGACAGCCTATATAGTATTTCTCTTATGGGCCCCGGGGGTAAGTTGCTGCTCAGAAGAATAACATTTCTGCAGCAGTCTTCAAATGGCCTAATTTGAAATAATTCTATTAAAATTGGATAAACCTCTTGAGGTGTAAACTATAAATAACTTTGCATATTTTCATAAGTTTCCTTTTTTCCTCAACAGGGAATATGGTGAGGAAAATTCCTATGCAATTTCTTCCTATCAGCAGTAGAAAATGAATAAAGAGCTGGAATGAAAGCAGTTCTTAAAGAACTAAATATTTGAAATTCAGAAGATCTTTTGGATTTGATATATTATATTGTACTTGTTACAAATCATATATAAAAATTCCACTGACTGTTGCACTAAAAGTATTTGAATGTTTGCCTTCTATAGGCTAATATTCTTTTACTATTCATTAATAAAGGAAATGCTTCTCCAAAATATTGCCTTTATATTTCTGCTAAAAAAAATGGCACACTAGCAACAATGTATTCGTAAGAGAACTTCAATACAGATTTTTTTTTGTTTTCGTATACATATATATATAAGATAATATTAAAGGAATAATCATTTATTTTTTAAAAAGCCCTGTGGTCTTGACTCAGACATGGTTGTAATGCAAATTTTGTGAACGATGCTGATGGATGCACCATGATTAAGTTGAATGTTTATGCACATTTGTATATGTCTCTCTGTGTTGACATATTTAAAGATATGCTCTTAAAGTGAACCAGTTTTAGCCGATTATTTTAGGCGGAAAAGTTGGGATTTTAAAATATGTACGGTAAAATACTTTGTTTGGGAAAAAAAGGGACCAAACTGAGTAAATTGTATTTTTTTTCTTTGTGAAAAGGTGTTTGGAACATATTTTCTTGTTAGCACATATACGTAGTTTCATGTATTGAATATAAAATGCACTTTAAAGAGTTATTGCCTTTGTTGTTTGACGTATCTGATGCTTTGCAACTACTGTACATTTCAGATATGATTTGTTTCATATGCTATATTAAAATTTCTTATAGCGTCTTTGCTCCTTTTTCCAACTATTTTATCTTTATTCGAAATCAAAATAGTTTGAATACAATTTATCTTTGTCTTGTAATTCTCAGAAGGAGAATATTCGTATTCTAGCTGAGGAAGACAAGATCACAGGATGTATAACTTCATCCTGTTTTGGTAATGGGAACAATTTATTGCATGCTTGAGGAGTGGTGCTGTTCACTCTAAAGCCAATCGTACATAACAGATTTAAAGAAAACTCTTGTGTGCAAATAAAATGGCTGGAGCTTTTTATTTTAGACTTGGGAAAAAGCCCAAAAGAAATAAATAAAATTGATGCTAAAAGAAATCTATCTTCAGAAAATTTGATGTGCATTGTTAGGAAAACTGATGAATAGTAGATTGGAGGTATATAAAACAACATAGTTTTGTAGATGGGCGATCTAAAAATACTATATCCTCTGACTTTAAACATCAAATGAATCTTGGCCTATGACACATTTCCTGTTTAATTTTTTCTCCTTTTATTCAAACATTGTGAAGTGTGTTTTCAAATGGATTGAAAGTTTCAAGTTCATCCTGTAGATTTACTGTCTGCTTTCTTAGTTTAAAGTATCATTTAAGCATTTTGATGTTTGAAGGAAACTATTTTGAAACTCAATGTGAGAATGATAATAACTTATCCATCTCTGGTTTAAAGACAGCTATATGTAGAATTATATTGGGAATACAGTTAATTTATAAGTGACAACTCTGTCAGTTTGGAAAAAATGTTGTTTCCAATTATTATTTTACAGAAACAGAGTTTTAAAAACATTTTTCTATTTCTGTTGTATTTCTGTTCTTAGCAGTACTTAATCATAACTCACCTGGAAAATGTTTCAGTACATTTTGCATTACAGCAAAATTTCTTGCTATGTGTGTTTCTGTAAACTTCAGTAGTAAGATCACCAGTTCGAGGTATTATTTTTAAAGTAGTAATTTAAAGCGGTACCCCAAGAAGACAAAACCAAGAATCTGCATTACTTTGTCTTGTAGCAAAGCATTTAATAAAGTACAGTATCAGAAACAGGATTCTATTAGAAAAGTGTATTTTGAATGCAATATATGTGATAATTTGTTACATTTTCCCCAACAATGGTTTTTAAAGGTAAAAAGGTGTAAAGACACATCAGAGCATCTAAAAGATGTTTAGGTTATTTAAAAAGCATTGGTAAGATTAGAACTAGGGAAGTGCAGAATACTTTTATTTTCCTTCGCTGGGATAGAGATAATACCAAATGTGTCTAGCAATTGTTTTCAAATGCTAAAAAGGGCAAAAATATATTATGCCTTGAAATATTATGCTGCATTGCTTACACTGCTTTTAAAAACTGACCGCTCCATTCTGTACAAGCCATGGCCACGGGGGTGATGCATGAGGTGGTTTTCTGTTTGCTTTTATCATATAATATGTTACCAAATGCTGTATTGGATGTCCACAGTATGTTAACAGTCAGTCCTCAATTCACAGAAGAAAGCAGGGGAAAATTGACATAAATAATACACAGTTATGAAAAACATGGCACACTGAATCTGAATTATATACAGTTTTTAAAAAAGCCTTAAAGATTCATTAGCATAAGGACTGAACCATCTGTCAATTGTCCACAGCTCTATTTAATTACAGGTAATCCTCAACCATTCATCATTTAATTACAGGTTATCCTAGACCAGGAGTAGGCAACCTTGGCTCTTTTATGACTCGTGTGCTGGCTCAGGAATTCTGGGAGTTAAAGTCCACGAGTCATAAAAGAGCCAAGGTTGCCTATCCCTGACCTAGACTTATAACCATTCAGTTATAACAGCAGTGAAAAAAGTGACAGATGAGGGTTTTTCACACTTAACCACCGTTGCAGCATCCCCATGGTCATGTGATCAAAATTCGATTGCTTGACAACTGGCCTGTATTTATGACAATGGCATTGCACCGGGATCATGTGGTCTCCATTTTCAACCTTCTGAAATTACGTCTATAGGCCGTCACTGAGCAACAGATTCATAAACCATCGACACCAATGTTTTTATCCTGTTTCAAAGTTTAAGCTAGTGCGTGTCCAGTCAGGTATTCCCTGTTGAATAAATATGCTCCGGGCTGCATTCTCAATTTTTCTGCTGCGCTCCTTCCCTTCTCATATAAATGCAAATTCTTTTAATGACTCTTTCAAATGTACTGAGGAATACGAGACTAGTATGTCTGCAGAGTACATTACGAGACTAGTATGCAGAGTACATACGAGACTAGTATGTCTGCAGAGTACATTACGATTCTCTTGTACAGCTTTTATTATCCAGATGGTGCTAAAATGATCTTTTTCTGAGTTAGCAGCTGCACAAGAAATTAACCAAATATTTCTGTCTAAAACATCCATTTATGAAGGAGGCTGCCAATGGTAACTCTTATGAATTTCAGTACTGGTCTTGCCTCATTCAACTTTTCTGCCATGATCCCGCAAGAGAAGGGATTGGGCTGTTTGGCTAGTCTCAGCCGATGGAAGTCGGTCTTCATGGCCGACTCACATTTGGGGGATCCTCTCCCACTGATACCTAGCTTCGTCAGTGTCAGCTTCCAGCAGATCCATGAAGACCGCGAAGATTTATTTTGCATTTGCTAGTTTTAGTCTGAATTGCTTCTAAATCATTTTATTGCTGCAATCTATCAGTGCAGTTTAGGGGAAAAGCAAAACAAGCAAACATACAGGTGGTCCTCACTGAATGACTACTCATTCAGTGACCATTCCAACTTGCAACAATGTTGAGCTTACTATCAGTCCTCAAAGTTCTGCCCAATGCATGCCCCCATAGTCGCGTGACTGCGATCCAGGTGTTTGGCAGCATCCCTGTGTCACATTATCGCAATTTGCGACCTCCCATCACGTTTCCCACAAGCAAAATCAATGGGGAAGGATGTCAGGTCATCGCAGTCACGAGAAGACCTTGCTAAGTGACCTTCATGGTCTTCACTTAATGACGGTAACAGAGAACTACCATAACTGCTGTCCTTAAGCAGTGCAGTCACCTGATACCATATTTTATAATCGCATGGCTTAGCAACAGAAAATCTATTTCCAATTACTGAAATTAAGGGAAGCTACTTGTATTATTAATGGAGAAATTAAGCAGAATCAGCCCATCTTCTAACCGGAGTGCTCACTGCATGTTAATGTCATGAATTTGGAATCCCAAAATAAAAATAAATTGATTATTATAAGACAAACATAGGTCTCCTCGTGTCATGTTCAGAATGAGAACTTAAATGCAGGATTTACTTCTCAAGAATTATTCAATGTGCAAGCAACATTTACTATGGAGGGGATACAATATTCTGTGAATGTAGCCATTCTAGTTTTTGAACTATGGTTTATGCCTCATTGCACTGTATGGAGCCCGTCCAGTTATGGCTTAATCCACAAACCATGGTTGATCAAACTGTACACCAACATTGTGGATTGTGACTTATGGCTTAGCATGTTGTTTTAACCCAATTGTGCCTTAGTTTTTTTAAAATAAAATAAAATAAAATGTGAACCGAGCCTCTGTAAAAACATGTATCTTTAAGTTTAAAGGGAGCTTAGATCTTCAGTGTTAATTCAGGCCAAATCAAAAGTTTACAAACACGAGACATTTATGAAACCTCGTGTTGCTAAATTATACTGCATTCCCGCAAGTCCTAGCATATCACTCATCCTATATATAAATGTCTGATCCTAAGCAGACCTCTAAGCTCAAGCACTTTGCTTCACCTCCTTTTTTTACCCTTAGAAATGGTTATTCACATATCATTAAGCTACTCACATCAAGAACTGTTCTTCATACATGCAGAGAAATAACACTTAATCAACAACAATGGAGGATGTGAATGACAACCGTTGCTATTGTACCTGACCGTATAACACAACGGTGACAATACGGTTCTTTCTGCCTGTAAAGATCTATTTTGAAGGCTGATGCAGGGTTAAACACACAGCCATGACTTAATGGCACACGGACGGGGAGAACAAAGTGGAATGCGCAAACAGCAAGAAAATGAATATATTACAGCATTCCAACAATACTTTCTGCCTGGGACACTAAACAAGGGGTGCCACAAAAGGGAATGCAAAGGTGAGTTTTCTTTGCAAGAACGGAGTTGAGCTAAACTGAGTTAATTCACTTGAGTATAGGGTTTCCTGCCTGAGCAGGGGGTTGGACTAGATGACCTCCAAGGTCCCTTCCAACTTTTATTATTATAATTATTACTTGCCCCTAGTATTGCCCTTTATAATTTTTTTCAGAACACGATCTCTTAAAAGACATTTCACAAACTGGCTGTTCTCCAAAGCATATAATCTGAAAGAGCCGCTGCTGGATAAATTAACGGGGACATGAAATGTGCAGCTGTTATACCCTGTTATCTATAAAGTGGGCAGCAAGGGGGCTGCTGATCAAAGTTGAGAAGAAACAAATATGCGATTATAGGTTTGTTTGTTTGTTTGTTTGTTTTAACCTGGGTAAAATTCAGTACAACGGAGACAGAATACTTTCTAATCACCTCTTTTTTTCCTGGGATGTGGTGGGGAGAAAGAAAGTTGTAGGTCTTAGAACTAGTATGTGGGTGAAGCTAGACTAGAATTCCATACAGCTTCCAAAAGATTTTCTTTTCTTTACAAGCTGCCATAGATACGTTTGATCACATCAGCCTCTCCTTTATCCAGGATGCCCTTGTCCACGTAAGCATCGGCTTGTTGGTCTATGAAATCCCGCAGTTTAGAAAGGTCATAATCTGAAACACAGTTAAACCAGGCAGATTATATCAGATTCTCCTGGAGAGACAGCTTCTTATTTCTTTGGTTATTTTAAAATCACTTTCCTTCTCTAGTAGGAACACCCAATATTTTGGGGCTCAAAAGCTACAATTCTATTTTGAATGGAATATTGTCCTCTGCTGTCCAAAGGATAAGCAAGCTCTGAACAATTACATGTTATTTGACATTTAATTTACACCTGCTCCCCATTGAACAACCACAAGCAGAATTCCCATCTTAAGACGTGCTTGTTAAGGGGGACTGTTTTTATGACAGTCATAAAATGAAACGGCAATAGTTAAAGGAATTACAGAGCTGTTATCGTCAACCACACAGTTGTAAAAACAAAACAAAACTAATCCATTCTTCCAAACGGACTTTTTTGCCGTATTGCATATTATGAATTGGGTCAATACATTTAACGGTGCTGGGTTCATGGATAGGCAAAGCCAATTGCTGATAAATTCTGTAGAAAATTTAAGAGAACCAGTATCACTTCCCATCTATGTCCCTCTATATCCATGGTGGCGAACCTATGGCACGTGTGCCACAGGTGGCACTCAGAGCCCTCTTTGTGGGCACACGTGCCATGCCCCAGAGATGGCAACCATCCCTCTTCAACCAGCTGTCTGAGGTCCCACATGGCCGGATGCATCCCGGCACGGGTGGCTTCTCTCCCCCCCCCGTCCCGTCCCTCCTGGACTCGCATGATCTCCTTTTCCTGGGCACGATCCACTGCATCGCCTCCTCAGCTGTCGGCCATCCGTCCAGCTCAGAGGCGGCTTCTCTGAACTGCTGGTGGCGGGCTGCGGAGCCCCAGAGTGCACCGGTTGAGGAGCCGGCTATAGCTGCTGACGGACACCGTCGGCCCCCATGGGCTCGCTGGCCTCTATGTGCGGTGGCCGATGGTGTCAGGCAGCAGCTGCCCTGGCCCCTGCATTGCCTTGCCCCATGGCAATGGCACCCCAGTCCTGCCTCGCCTCACACCACAGGATGAGCCTCCTGCCCACCACCCCACCTGCCAGAGACCCCCTGGATCTCCCCCAACCCTGCCTGGCCCCCACAGGCGTCCCTCCCCACGAACAACATCGAGGTGACCACGCCCACTTTGGCCACACCCACACAGTCTGCCATGATCACCACAGCCACGTCCATCCAGTGGGCCACATCCCACCTGGCACCCGGCGATAAATAAGTGGGTTTTGGGTTGCAGTTTGGGCACTCGGTCTCTAAAAGGTTCGCCATCACTACTCTATATCCTCTATACCCGTATATATCCATCCATATATCTTTCCATCTATTCCATCTTCTCAAGACTACATGATCAAGCTTTTTATTTAACGGAATTCCAACAGAATATGTTCTCCGGATTGGTCCTGTCCATACCACAGTCCTCTCCTCAAACCTTACCATCTTTCTTTCCCTGTGGGTTATGCTTCTTCAGCCACTCTATATTCTTTCGGATGGCTTCCAAATACGCGTCTGCTTTTCCTTCAAAAGTAAGAGGAGAAAAGAGTATTAGTAGTTAAATGTACACGTTTCAGAGGAGAAATCAGGTCTATTGTACAGAGAATAAAAGGCTCTTATTTCTAAGCAATTTCTCAGCCATCCACGATTGTCCCAAAGGCATTGTTTAAAAGGGTTCATTTCTTTTCCTTTTGATTGTTTTATTGGTTTGTCAAAATATAAAATACAAAGAGAAATTCAAAAAAATAATAGAAAACTAGAAGAAGGGGGGACGGGAAAGGAAAAAGAGAGTGTAAAGAGAGAAAAGGAAAAAAGGCACCAACTTCCAACTCTTTTTAGCACGGCAGAAGATAACATTACAATCAATTCTTGGGTTTTTTTTCTTGAAGAGGTTTCATTTCTCACCCAGCAAGCTTTAGGAGTCAAAGGCTACAATTATACTTTGAATGGAATATTGTCGTCTACTTTTCAAAAGGAAAGAAAAGTCTGAATAACAATACGCTAATTAACATTTAATTTACATGTATTCCTCATTTAACAACCATAGCCAAGCCTGGAATTTCCAGTCAGAACTGAAGAAGCTTCTTGGATGAGAAGTGAAACAAGGAAAAAAAAAACCCAAAGAAAGTCCAGTTGTCTTTTGAAAATCACCTTTGGGATAAAGGTTCTCATTTACTCATAAGCCATCTGAAAATGAGAAGAATGGTTTGAGAATAGGAGGACATTCCTTAACCCAGGATTAGTTTTTCCAATCTTTTCTAGCTATGGCAAATTTAGACAGCATACTAAAAAGCAGAGACATCACCCTGCCAACAAAAGTGCGTATAGTCAAGGCCATGGTTTTCCCAGTTGCAATGTATGGCTGTGAAAGTTGGACCGTAAAAAAGGCTGAGCGCCAAAGAATTGAGGCCTTTGAGCTATGGTGCTGGAGAAGTCTCCTGCGAGTCCCCTGGACTGCAAGGCGTTCAAACTGGTCAGTCCTAGAGAAGATCAACCCCGACTGCTCTTTAGAAGGCCAGATCCTGAAGTTGAAACTCAAATACTTTGGCCACCTAATGAGAAGGAAGGACTCACTGGAGAAGAGCCTAATGCTGGGAAAGATGGAGGGCAAGAGAAGAAGGGGACGACAGAGAACGAGGTGGCTGGATGGAGTCACTGAAGCAGTAGGCGTGAGCTTAAATGGACTCCAGAAGATGGTAGAGGACAGGAAGACCTGGAGGAACATTGTCCATGGGGTCGCGATGGGTTGGACATGACTTCGCAACTAACAACAACAACAAGCTAGGAATTCTGAGGATCGCAGTCTGAAGATGCCTCTTGAAGATGTTGAGAAAGGCTTCCATAGAGTTAATAATTGCAGATCAAACCCTGCAGGCTTATAGCAATTTATTGTGTGTAAGGCAGCAGAAGTTACGTAGTCCTCTTGAGCTCCTATCACATACCTCCGCTGTATTTCATCTGGAGCCACTCAGGGGAAAATGTTTTCCTGGAAATGACCCTAAGCATTTTGATCGCTCTTATTTATATTTCAAGCAACATCTCACATTACAGCCCGATCAATACGCCCCGCGCAGACTTCTGCGTTTGGTAACGATTTTATGTTTTGAAAAAGGATACATACAATTAGAGGAATATCTCAGCCAAGAGTGATGTATTGATCTCATTGTGTTTGGACTGCAAAGCTAGCCTCTGGGCTCCAGAGAGAGGACAAAGGCCCTGTGGCTTCTAAATGTAGTAGATCAGCTCCTGAAAAGCCTGCTCTATGTACCAGGACAGGGGTCTTCAAACTTGGCCCTTTTATGACTTGTGGACTTCAACTCCCAGAATTCCTCAGCCAGGCACGCGTGCCTGGCTGAGGAATTCTGGGAGTTGAAGTCCACAAGTCATAAAAGCCCAAGTTTGAAGACCCCTGTCCTAGGAGTTCGACACTGTCATATCTTTGAACGTTTGTTAAGTCGAGGAATACTTCTATTGCAGTTAGTTGGGTCATAATCAAAGCATCGAGAACAGAAATAACAGATGATGCTGTCCAATCTACCCCAGAACCTCTGCCATCTCTGTTGCAATAACCTCTGTTTATGATAAGGTCAGTGGTGGGATTCAGCCGGTTCTCACCGCTTCGACAGAACCGGTAGCTAATTTTTTGTTGCCCAGGCCCAGAATGGACTTCCGGAAGTGGTATCCACACAGAGAACCGGTTGTTCACCTATTTGAATCCCACCGCTGGATAAGGTTGGCCTTATTTGGCAATCAACCAGGCTATTAACTCTGTTAGATAAAGATTTGGGAGCAGTACCACTGTAACAAGCCCTGGTGGCACAGTGGCTACAGTGCAGTATTGTAGGCAAACTCTGCCTACAGTCGGGAGTTCGATCCTGATCAGCTCAAGGTTGACTTTGCCTTCTATCCTTCCAAGGTCAGTAAAATGCAGACCCAGATTGTTGGGGTCAATATGCTGACTCTATAAACCGCTTAGAGAGGACTGTAAAGCATGGTGAAGTGGTATATAAGTCGAAGCACTGTTGCCATTGCTATCTTACACACACGTGCAACTACTTACCTTGAGGTTCTTTGTTGCTTCCTACGTTATCTTCCTCGGCTTTTGTGGAATCTTTCAGGGCTTCATATTCTTTTTCCATTTCAGCCGTGGCTGTTTTTGTGCTGTCGGCTTCCTCGGTGTTCTTGTCTAGAGGGATCGCAAGCAGAATAACCTTTACACCATCTGAACCATAGCACATTCCCACATGCACTTGGGTGTCTTAATAGCCTTTGAGGCTGTAACGGTTTGTGGCAAAACTAGATTCATATGAACAGATTTCTAAACAGGCTTGCTGTTGTCATTGCGATTTAAATCGATTCAAACAACGGCCAAATTATAATTCAACTAAGTCCACAGGAAATGTAAGTGGGGAAAAAACGATGCAATAACACATTTCCCAAAATTACCTGATAGCTTGTTCTGGGAACTGGATTTTTCAAGTTTCTTTCTTGTCTGTAGGGCTATCATGGCATCTAGATTTTCTGGAAGGCAGAAAAAAAAAAGAAAAATTTGAGCTCCTGTGTAGAAACAAAGCCCTTTTGGAGGAGTTTGTTTCTGTTTATGAGCTAGGATGGGACAATTAACTCTCCAATAACTGGCTCCTGAACATTGATGAGGGCAGACAGAGTTAAATCTTCTTTACCCTGGATTAGTTCTAGGAATTAATTAACAGACTCAATAACATCTAACTAACCCTTTTTCCCAACCTTGTTGAATATACTGCGCAGTCAGGAATAAAAATCTATATATAGATGCCAAATAACTCTGCTGTGGCCATCAAAGACAATTATTTGAAGGAGCAATTCTACATTCATTGTCACATTATCCTAGGCACGCTGGGTGCAAACCTCTTCATTTGATTGCCATGTTACTATACAGTCAAGTTACATCCACCAAGGCTAGGGTGTATTAAAATGTATAACCACCAACCAAGCCGAAACTGGAAACTCCAGTTTATTTATTTTTAACATACGCATACTTATTACAAGCCCATAAAAAAAAAATCTTTCCTGAGTCTTGACGCACATGTTTTGCAGTTGTGCTCTCTAGCTTAAATCCCCTAGATGGCCTCTCAAATTGCTGAATATATTCTCTTGGGTTGAATTTTGCCTAAAGAGCTTTTGGCTGCTTTCTTGCATAGACAAACCGAAAAGGGGGAAAAAAAAAACCCAAAAGAAAGGGGTATGCAAGAAACTGGCTGTTTTCAATCAAAATGACGTTAGTAGGTATCCTCTAGCTGCAGCCTGGATATGTTGCATTGCTCAATATTGGCTTTCAATTACTCTAATGTGGTGAGTCATTAAATGTCACTCACCAGGACAGGAGCTAAGCAACTGGTTCTCCTAGTGGGGCTTTTATAAGATCAGATGTCACTGCTAGGCTGGTTGCCTTGGTAATTTAAAAAAAACCAACACTGAATAAGAATCTGAACACATGGACCTTTCACCCGTCCAGTCTATTTTTTTTTTATACTGTTCATTAAAACAAAGGCCACCAGAGCTACACTGCTGGTAATATCTTCCACAAGCTATCTTATAGTTGATAGTGAAGCCAGCTTTCAATCAGTCAATCAGAATAGAGCTGGAAGGGACCTTGGTGGTCTTCTAGTCCAACCCCCTACTCAAGCAGGAGAACCTATACCATTTCAGACAAGTGGTTGTCCAATCTCTTCTTTAAAACATCCAGAGTTGGAGCACCCACAACCTCTGGAGACAAGGTATTCTACTGATCAATTGTTCTATCAGGAAATTCCTCCTTAGTTCTCGGTTGCTTCTCTCCACCTCTATATCTATGTCTATGTCTACTATATCTATATCTGTCTATATCTATCTCTATATGTCTATGTCTATATCTGTCTGTATCTATATGTCTATGTGTCTATATCTGCCTATATCTATATCTGTCTATATCTATGTCTGTCTATATCTATGTCTATGTCTGCTATATCTATATCTGTCTATATCTACAGTATATCTGTTTCCAAAATTCCTCAGTATATACGTATTCCCAATATGTTCCTACAATATTTTTGGACAAGTCTGCTCTTCTTTACATAAACATATATCACCCAGCACATTTTCAGCACATACTTGTTCACTTGTCACTGACATTTAGAAACAAAGCTAGAGTTTCTGTGGAATTCAGTCATCCACAGAGAGAGAAAATACACTTAATATCCCCTTACCCTACCGTAAAGTGCTACATATCCAAGGATGAAATATTGTAATTCTGATGAAGATGTCTATTCTCTTGACTCATCCATCATATACATAATCTGGCAACTCAAGGATATTTACAGAATGATTTATTATTAGTGTTGTATGCCACGTGACGTCTTACAGCAGCATACGCAATCCCCCAAGAGGAGTATAAACAACTGAACAATCACAAGCAATAAACATTATATGACACTGAAAGGGAAGATATCAACATCCAAAACCTTTTTCCCGCAGCCATTTTTTTTATTTCTTTACAGAAACTAATTAGAGAGGAGACAATTCTTATATATGAGAACACATTGTTCCAGAAGAGGGGCAAATTAAAGTACGTTAGCGACCAGACATCAAAGCATGCATAGATGAATTATTAAAATAATAGATCATCATTATCTAAAACACTACTGGGAACAGCAACAGACCCATTTTGATTCAGTTGACCCAAACCAACAGCTGATCCCAGAATGTTTTAGTACAACTGTATTTATTTCTTATAAAAATAAAATGGAAATCCTGCCACCAATAACTCATCTCTTCTTCTTGAAGTCCAAGTCGCTGCCAGCAGGTCAGAAATGATGATGCCATTACGTTCTAATCCAGCTCCATTCTACTCTGGGTCACTTTGAGATACGGCTATTCCTTAATTGGGCAAATGGGGTGATATTCAGTCTTAGCAGGGGATGGTAAATGGCTGCCCTTGACTCAGCTCATGACCAAAGACTGGGCCTGATGCGTATTTGGTTATGAGCACCACCACCATCAAACACTAGGATTCTACCAAGAAGCTGAAAAGCATCTTTGAAGTTGGATGATAGGGGACAGTCGTGGTTGGGAGACCATGGAATGATTCCTCCAGCAATTTCACATTGATGTTGAAGAGCATGAGAGACAAGGTAGAACTCAATGGACACATAAGCCAACATTTAGGTATTGCACAGTAATCCTCTTGAGGTTACAGGATATGGCCCTCAAGGCTCAATCTCATTAGGCAGTGGAGAAGGATGCCATGGTCAACGGTATCAAAAGCCAATAAGGACTCCAGGAAAACTAATAGGCCACATTCTTCTCTAGTCAGAATCCTGCAAAGCAACTGCAGTACTTCCAGTATCTCACCTCATCTGAAAGCCTAATTCTAACCAAGCTTCTAATGTCAGTCAAAAGTCAGCCTATACCGCTTCCATTTTTTTCTCATTACCCTTCGTTTCCTACGCCACCAGACAAGGATGATGGAAAACCATAAATTTGGTTGAGGATCAAGAACACACTGCACCACACTGTAGACCTCTTGTTTACGTTTGTTAACAATTCATTAAAAGAAACGTGATATGTACATACCTTGACACTTCTCAGTAAGGCAATACTGGCAGGGCAGGGCAACCTATGGACCAAATAGGACCCTCAACCTGGTATCACAAAGACCTTTCCAAGTGATTAATTCGGAATTAATCCTCGCCCAACAGGGTGAGTTTCCCTTCCTTGCCCCAGCTCTTGCCCACCGACCAGTTTGAAAGCATGCAGATGCGAGTCGATAAATAGGTACCACTTCAGTGGGAAGGTAACAGCATTCCATGGAGCCTTTGGCATATAGCTGGCCACGTGACCATGGAAATTGTCTTCGGACAACGCTGTCTCCTTTGGCCAAGAAACAGAGATGAGCACCCTGCCCTAGAGTCGGACACGACTGGACAGAGGGAAACCTTTTATCTTTAATTCAGCACTCTGTAATACTGGGCAACCAATTCCATGGACAAAATGAGAGAGATAGGAAATCAGAGGGAGTGGGGAGACAGGGATGGCGAAAATAGAAGGGGCGACTCCCTTCTTTCGGCTTTGCCCCCTCCTCGCCTTTATTTCAACCTCGCTCGCCAACTGGCATATGGCTCCCCACATTATCCTCAAGGACCCACCCCACTTTGCATCTTAAGAAGTCAGAACTCTTGGAGTATTTCTTCCAACAGGCATCTTTATTAAGAGAACATGGTTGCAGGCATTCTAGACAGGACCTGACGTCCCACTCCTACCATTCAAGGTTTTAAATGTTCCCAAGCAGCCCCCCACCCCACCATCCTTCCAGCGACAATCCCAGGTGTTACATTTCCACCCCCTTTTCCTCACGGCCGACGGAAGGGAGACTTCAGAGAGGAGTACATGAAAGCTGATGGGCCCTATTGTTATGGTCAGTCCTTTTGGTGCGATCCACATTCAGTCCCTTTGAAGTTGGAAGGAAGGAAGTGAGAGCCATAAAACCCCTTTGCTCATCCCCCTTCCCTTTCGTCGTATGACAGAATCCAGAGAGGGCAGAAATGGGGTTTTCCATAGTCGATAACTATAGATGAAATATAATTGGATTCTGACAGGCGACTCCCTTCTTTCGGCTTTGCCCCCTCCTCGCCTTTATTTCAACCTCGCCCGCCAGCTGGCATATGGCTCCCCACATTATCCTCAAGGGTACGTAGGAAGGAAGATTTGCTTGCCTTGGCAAAGTAGATCAAAACATGGGGGAAGATGAGACGCTGAGTAGCGTCTGTTCACGTCCCTCCTCATCAAAACATGTCCAAACTCACTGGCAGGAAGGCTCAAGGACGTGACGGCTGAGTCATCTGTGACGGAGGAAGGTGTGAATGTGGAGACTAAGGCTGACAGTGACACAGCAAATGGCATTCCACCCATGGATCCACAGTGGAAGAGAGTTAACTCAAGCATTCTTACTGTTTTCATCGCTTACTAATAACCAGCAATTATTACAGCCAGAAATAATTATAACCCCCCCCCCTGTGCAAAATTGGAAGGAAGCAACTCTTCAAGAAAGAAGTTGTTTTGGACCCAGACGAGGGAATTTCATAATTTCCAGTAACAATTTTCTTACCCTACAATGTGAGGATCAGAAAGAATAATGGAATATTAATGGCAACGTTCTTATCCTTTTTGCCAGACCTTTCCACCTTTCTCTGCATGCTGGTATTTGCCCCACATACGCACCCTGCACACACACATACACACACACACACACACACACACACACACACATTTCACAAATACGGTTGCAGAAATCTTTGAAACAATTCAGGCAGTACTTTTTCCCTCCTGCAGCTAAAATAATTGAAGCATATGTCACGGGCTGAAATCTCAAGAGGAGCATTGCCCTCGCAACATATTCTGTGAAGTAGTACAAAGAGTACAAATCTCTTTTCTTTCTCCACGTCTTTCTTGCATTCGGCTGCTGAGAAAATAAAAAAAAAAACGAGCACACTTGTAGGGCAGTGGCT